CCTTTGAAATATTTATGATGAGTCTGTAAAGAGGTATTAAAATTATTAAACAGTACAAGGGGATAAGAATGGAGGTTATTTGTTATGAACTCAAACACCTAACGATCCTCGTAAATTATGAAACCAACATGTGCGTGAGTTGGTGTGTGTCTATTGACCATAGTTTAGCATATGTCAACCAACGGTTTGAATGGGATCCATGAGTTATGCCCAATGGGTGTACAGTTGTGGCTCATGGGTAACAATATAGAAAGGATAGAAATCGCCGCTCAAAGTAGCCAACGTTTGTCCCTGGTTCTTATTCTTATCTTTTGGAACATATTCACTTTGGTAATAAAACATAAATTATTCATATCCATGTACAATATTAATTCATACACTTACTTTAATTGCAACGAAAATTTTATACATGCAACTGGCATTGGTTCCCTAACACCTAGGGTTAACCACGTGAGTTACATCTTGGAAACTAGAGAGATCATACCCTCTAACCGTATATGCACTTATGGGCAAATAAAATTTACCTTTGTACGTATTCCAACTGTAATCCATCTGACGTTAACAGAGGAACACTTATTTGGGGGAATGGGGGCGTGAGTGTCAATGAAAGGGAAGCGCGGGGATACGTGTTCACAATCAATTTAGTTGTGTCTTGAGTTTGAATTTTTTCACTGGCCAGACATTGGCTCTTTGAGTATAGGTATTAGTCATGGATCAATCACAAGTATAGAAACTTATTTCAGCTGTAACTAAAAAATTTCCCCAACCAATTGCTATGCATTGAAGTATAAAAGCAACCCACGTGGTTTTATGTTTAGTTCTACGTTTGAAATTTAAAATTCCTCTCATTTTGATTCAGCAAAATGAATTATGCTACTACTCATATTTTATATGTGAATGAAAACAAAACATTAGTAAAAAACGAAAATTATGTTCGCAGAACATATTAAACTCGAGTCCTTTGCGTCTCTTTGAAGTTATTTCCCTTTATAATCTTAACACAAATTGTAATCCTCTTTAACCGGACTACTTTATAGTCAGATATGGTGAAATAGGTTACAAAATGTCAAAATGTAATTTACAAAAATAAATTAGGTTATGGCAATCCAACCGCTATCGCTGATATTTATATGATCAACCTATGAAAACATCGAGTGAATTTACGAAAATGGTGGTGGAGTGGTGTGCTGTGTGAGTTTGTGAGTTGAATCTTCGAAGCTTCGATTTAGGAGCAAGTGTATGTATGTATGTATGTATGTATGTATGTATGTATGTATGTATGTATGTATGTATGTATGTATGTATGTATGTATGTATGTATGTATGTATGTATGTATGTATGTATGTATGTATGTATGTATGTATGTATGTATGTATGTATGTATGTATGTATGTATGTGAGAAGAAAGATTTGAACATAAATGTATGTATGTATGTATGTATGTATGTATGTATGTATGTATGTATGTATGTATGTATGTATGTATGTATGTATGTATGTATGTATGTATGTATGTATGTATGTATGTATGTATGTATGTATGTATGTATGTATGTATGTATGTATGTATGTATGTATGTATGTATGTGTGTGTGTATGTGTGTGTGTAATGTGTTTTACCCACAATGAAATATATCCGGTATTATCGTAGTAATCGAAAGTGTCCTCTTAATATTTGTTCATTTAACAGGAAATTAGTAATATATGCATGCAATATTCCTATAAGCTGTTTCGCATCATCGTCATAGTTGTTCTTCGTGTAGGTAGATTATACTTTCAAAGTACTTTTGTAAATAGAAATATTTGCGTCAACGTTGTATCGATTACGTCATCATTTTTGCGCTTAAACCGCGAGATATAAACAACTTTTGGTTTTTAAAGCTTGGTTGCCATAGTAATGAAGCAATTGTGTTTGGGAAACAAGTTTTCCATCGTACATTCGGCACTTCATCTGCATTAAAGCACTCATCGTTATACTTGGAAGAAAGAAATGGAAGGACATAAGTAAATAATACATTAATAGAAGGTTTCAAATGATCAGTGATTTGATGTTGAAATAATGAAACGAGTTGAATAGTTTCAGCTCTTGTTCGCTAAGGCTCAAAAATGCTAGACAATATTCCACGAGTTTCTTAAATTCTATATGAAATCATTGCGCATTTGAGATTATGATATCACATAGTTTTTATTTTCTTTAAATGGAAATAGGACACTAAGAAGAATAAATAATTTCATTCATTCTGAATCAGTAATTTTGTATGCGTAAAAAGTAGTCCCTGGATATAATAAGAAATAATGAGCTTGTAGAATGCGGTCGTAGTGGAAAATGGCAGCTGGAATTAGATCATTGATATATTATGGAGCCATGTAATAAAAAGATTTCCATTTCAAAATAGTTTTGCCTAAAAATTAATTAATTAATAGATAACCATTGTAAATAGATGATGAATAGTCTTTTCTTGTAGTACTTATGGCGGGTCGTTTATTGGAGTTTAACTATGTGATTCAGATTAATAACATTGTAATTCCCCATTTGGTTCAACCATAACCAAGCTAACGCAATATATAGTTATTATAAAACGTGTTAGCTATTGATTGTGGCATATACAAAGACAGTCTGTTGAGAAGGTCATTCTGGCCGGTACTGTAGAAAACACACACACACACACACACACACACACACACACACACACACACACAGATTTCATTTTATATTCCCGCAATAAATCCATGTCAGCAATTAATCTTAACTGTTTATTATTTTCTATGTAATTTAATTAATGACCATGAACATATATATTTTTAACCTATAATTTCCTTATATTCTGCCTTCAATGAATTGTCATACATTTGGTGGTATCTGTGATGAAACAAAATATTGTTGGTTTCGCGCCATAGTATAACAACCTGAAGGTCCTATTGCAGATTTTGTTCAAGTAATATATCGTTTCAGTGATGGTATGTAAGATTATGTTATCCGCAAAAATAGATCAATTTCAGATACTTTAGTGTTAAGTTTTAAATCATTATTGAAAGTCAGAAAAAGTGAACGGTCAAGAATAGACTCCACTTTTGGCGTATTGTAAAGAAGATAGAGAATTGCTTACATAACGCATTGTTGCCTTCTTATTATGAAAGCATCGAATTAATTATACGAATTGTTCTGGAGTGTAGGGTGTTTTCGTCACTATTTCACGGTTAACTAAATCAAAAACTCTTTTTGGAAATCTAAACAAATTGCTTTGATTAGTTTCCTTTATCAATAGTTCCTTGACATGTTTCAACCAACTTTACGAGAGCAGTTTGGTATGGATGATTTTCTTCTAACGAGCTATTTAGACGATAACATTTCTTTACAAATGGGCTAATATGAACGACAACGTGATTTTATAGTTTTAGACGAGGCTGGTGAAGCTGATATGTGTCAATAATTATTTGCTGACGTCTATAATTTTGGTTAAAGACTGTGAACATTTTGGCTCATTTTAGATTAGATGGAAAAATTTACTTGGCATTTTGCTTTTATCAAGCTTGCATTGGAATCAACAGCAACATGAGCTGATAGCATGAATAATTTTGATGAGATTTCATCTAGTCCTGTTGCTTTGGTTCCATCAGTTTAGCTCAGATGTCAACAGTGTCTTCATACATGTAAAGGATATGGAATGATATATAAGATGCAATCTTAGACTAAACACAGTCTGTAAGGATTGACGGTCTTGTGATATCGGGTAATTTTCTCCATCCACTTCGAAGTGCATGAGTAGAACAAGTATTTAGGTCCTTTGCAATATCTGACGTCTCCGTCCTTTTATTACTAACTGTATGGAAAATTATAAACTTTTAAACCTAGTTTATCTTGAAAAGGAATCCCTATTAGCTCAAGCAATAAATTTTTTGTTACATTCCTATGATTTTTGTAGGTTTCTTTGGAACGCCGTGATAGACATCACGTAGTTTTATGCCTTCCCATTTTGCACCATTAAACCAGTTAGACTGCATTACTCTCTATCCAGGCCATTTTACATTTAATGTGCATCTTGTCGATTTATGACTGTGAACAAGTGTGAATTTTAATGTTGTACACTAAGATATGGATTTATAAATGTAATTTGACAATTTTTAATTCGTAATCTACGGAGATTCGAACCCAGATCCTCGGCTAAACGGCACCCATCGCCTTGCCTGCACACACCAGCCCATATTCCATCACGACTAAGCACAGACACACCACCTCCTTCTTGTGTTCTATTTTTTTGGTACGAATGGAAACCACTGATTGACACTAAACGATCAAGTATTATCATTAAGACGTTTCTCAGGTTGCTGAAATGTCAGCATGAGATTTATTGAATGAAGAAAGATTGAGTTCATCTCGATTTTGGTTTACATGCCGGATAATAAAATCAATTGTATATAAATTATTTTCTTTAAACTTTAGATCAAAAATCAGATCCAGCGGTTTGCTGATTAAGGCTGACTTATAATATAGTATTTAATAGCCTGTTCGGTAATGGAGGTAATGTCTCTTGGTTGAGATAACCCAGTGGTTTGTGGTTAGCTGCATTTACGTATGCAGCTATAAGAAAAGTGTTCCCTTCAAACGGTTGCATTATTCCAACTATAGGCTAAGATACCAAACTGATTCCTGAGACTAATTATCAAGTTGCTTTCTCATAATTCCTAATTAGGCATGCATGCATAATTGTTAAATCTTTTGTAAGAAACAGATCCATAAGAAAACGTGGCGGTCGGTCTTACGACGAACGTACACTCAACAAGATCGATTATGTCTGCATTAGCGAGTGGTGGAGATCGTCGCTGCTGATCGTGCGAGTGCGCAAAGGAGTGACGTTGGTTCTGACCACTATTTACTTGCCGCCATGTGTCGACTCTGTCTGAAGCGTCAACAGGTGCAGCAATAGCGGTCAGTTTCCCTTCGCGATGGAAAACCTTAAAGATTGTGCAACTGCAGAACGGTTTCAAATCGAGTGAACCGTTCCCGTGGCTTAGTGGTAAGAGTGTCCTCCTTGGATGCGGAAGGTCGTGGATTCGATCCCCAGTCGAGTCATACCAAAGACTTACAAAAATGGTACTAAGAGCTGCCTCGCTTAGCACTCAGCATTAAGAGGTTAGTGTTAGGACTGGTCGGCCTGGTGTCAGGATAATGTGACTGGGTGGGACATCATGCTACATATCTGTGGCACGATGCCCCAGTGCTAGACATCACTATAAACTGCCACACTGCAGACATCGTAGTGATATGACTGAAGATTATTAAAGCTTCGTTAAAAATTATAAATCACATCACATCAAATCAAATCAAGTTGCGAAATCAGTTTAGTCTGCTGGTCCTGGAGCTGATCAAGATTCAAGGACACGGTAATTAGCAGTTCCAAGGCGGGTGTTGGGAGGATACGATGAACGTATATAGAGCGACGAATTCAGGGATCGGTCTTGGAAATTCAACGACGAAAGGAAGAAGATGCGATAAAAACGTGACCAGGCAAGGACAGAGCAAGAAGAATTGGAGGTATTGGAAGCTTATCGAGAATCAGATCGGAAAATAAAGAGAAACTGTAGGCGAGAGTATCTAGACCAGAAGAGGCAAGAAACACAGGAAGCGGTTGTGAAAAATGACATAAAGACACTCTACCGTATCGTTTGCGAGCGAAGAGTGGAGCCCCTAACAATGACAAAAATGGAAAGCCGTGTCTAACCAAAGAAGAACACGATGCTCGATGGGTTGAACACTTCAAGGAACGCTAAATCAGTTTACCCCAGAATCGACCTTCACTTTTGATCCAGCATGCAAGCTGTCCTTGCGGATGCAAGAAATATCAACAGCAGAGACTGTGAGAACGGTGCAGATCCTAAAGAATAACAAAGCGCCTGGTATGGATATGGTGTCTACAGAAATAATCAAGCACGGTGAACAGTGTCTCGTCAACGAACTGACATATATTTTAAACTCATATTCGTTGACGACACGAGTACCCGAAGTGTGGGAGTCATTGTCAAACTTCCAAAGAAAAGAAACCTAGCGGACTATACCAACTGGCGAGGAATCACACTCCTCTTGGTCCCTGGAAAATTGTTTATCATTGTCCTGCTACGGCGACTAACGGAAGCTGTGGACACGAAGCTTTGAGAAGAACAGGCTGGCTTTCGTCGCGGAGGATCATGCAATGAGCAAATATTCATCATGAGAAACATCGTCGAGAAGAGTCTGGAACACCAACAGCTGCTCATTATCACCTTTATCGATTTAACAAGGCTTTGTACAACATACATCGGGAGTCGCTTTGTAACATAGCGAGGTTGTACGTCATCCGGGAGCGATTCGTTGAGGTCTTTAGAAATCTCTACCTCGACTCAAGCTGTTATATCAGGACGGAAGACGGCACCACATATTTCCTTGCCATCGATACTGACATCAGACATGATGTATTCTGTCTCATTTCATCTTTCTTATGGTGTTAGACTTCGTTACGCAGAAGGCCATGGACCGAGATGATTTTGGAATTACATGGCTGAAACTAAACCTGCTTACTGACCTTTACTCGCGGATGACGTTGCACTCCTTGGTGCCACGAACAAAAAGGCGCAAGAAATGACAATGAGCCTGGAACGTGAAGCGGCCCGAGTTAAATTTGTGATAAGCAGAAATAAAACAAAGATCACGAGGATAGGATATACCACAGCAATGGATACCGTGAAGATTGGTCAGCAACAACTTGAAGAGGTAGAGAAATTCACTTACCTAGACAGCACCCTAGCTATCAATGGCAACGCCGACCACGATGTCGCTTGTATAGTAGGAAAGGCAAGGGCAGTCTTTCAACGGCTTCGACCCATCTGGGCCAACGCGTAAATCACTGTAATAACGGCAATCCGGATGTTCTATACTTTTGTCGTCCCGATTGAATCCTATGCATGTAAAATGTGGAGGACGTCAGACCGGATTCCAAGGAGGCTTAAAGTCACCCAACAGTAAATCTGCAAGTCCCCTACAAGGATCGCATCACAATGAAAAGATCCACCAGCGTATAGGCACCCGCCATCTCAATAAGATTGTGATAAAGCTCCGGCTACGTTTTGCATTCCACGTACTCCGACAACCAACCTCACGGCATCCAGAAAACGCAATCTCGTGGACGCCACGGGGAGGACGGAAAAAGGCCGCCTCAGAACTACATGGCAAAGCACCTTCTTCAAAGATTTGAGAACGCTGGGCATATCATTGGATGCGCCAAATCGACCTCGATGGAAAACACTCGCTGCCCAATGCGTCGAACGAAGCAGGAGGGACTAAGTCTAAGTCTAAGTTTAAGTAAGTCTTTTGTAATACGAATCTATGTAGATCACGGTTTCGTGATCCATATCGGGCGTTGACAAGGTTCAAACACAAAGAGACCAACGGGTCATAGCTGTTGGGACCACCATCTACAAACTCTCCTGCCATGTTTTGATCTCAGCCGTAATGATTTTGTCAAGAGCGCTTTTTTGTATGTACCGGACAAGTCGTGATTGGTATTAAATAAATATGAAGAAAATAGGAAAAGAAGAAAAGCATAAGAAATTCATAGGTTCCTTTATTACATATTAAACAGCTTTAAACACTTCAAAACTTTGATCATTATTTAGTTAGCATAAATCATGATAGAGCAAGTCAGTTAACGCAGACAAAGGATGATTAAGTCGTCGAAGACAAAAGTGGGTGACTAAGATTTCGAAATAAAATCATGAGCTGATCTAGAAACGGACACACTCTAGAACAAAATGTAATTTCACTTGCTTCTCTATAATTACATACTGATGATTGAAATATCTGTTTAGTATGTAATTATTTTACTGCATTTGTATGGGACAATATGAGCGAGTTTTTCGGATGGATATACTGCACGACCTTGGCAGTGCAGTATTTCCTTCCGACAAAACGAGTTCATATTTTCCCATACAAATACAGTAACCTTTTAATCATATGCTCGATTCTTATTCTTTTCAAGGCTCAAATATATAAACAAAAATACACTCCAAGAAACAAAGTAACTAAATTTATGCCGTATTCCAAGCAAAATACATAAGCGTTGATGGATCATTACACAACATTATTAATGGGCGCATAACTCCGCCCAGGTAAATATGAAGTTGGTCGCGCGCTAGACGTAAGTTTCGAAAACAAATGGTGTTTGCTATACTTAAAATTGAAATTTGAAATAATATTGTTAATGTATACGTATTGCAACAACTTTTCCATTTGATCTGGAATGAATACGTTTTGGTATTTTTGTCGATTCAACGTAATCTTTTGATTAAGGTCTGGGTTCATCTAAATGAAGTGACTTGCATCGGTTTCCAGCAGCGTCTGCCAATTCAATCCATTTGAATTATGTTGACATCGGCATGCGTTTTTCTTTTCTGTCATTGAATAATTCAGATTATAATATGGGAAAATTAAAAGTCTTTCCATTACAACTATCGAAAAGATGCTGTGGAATTTAATGTTAATTTCAGTTTGAGTGCAGTAAGGAGAATGCAACTGAACTTGTAATATGCTCGAAATTACACTACAATTTCAAAATGTTTAATCAGCCTTGAGAACCCATTATTTACAGACCTAGGAAAGTATATTTTTTGAGGAAACTCAGGATGCAAACTTATAAGTATATTTGTGGCCATTGTTATTAAGAGCTAAAGAAGACAGTTTATGTGTACAACTTGCGTTTTATTGTGAGGACCCTGTATAGCGTCTAAATCTGAAATACTGTATCAAACAAACAAACGCGGAATGTGCCAAAGTAGTTTGTATGTGTCATTCTATGAAACATTTGCTGGTATGTGGCCGTCCATTTTACATCTGATTTAGTTTATTCATAAAAAAATTGTTTATGTTAGAAAATAGTTCCTATGCGCGCGGGTGCAATATTAAAGTGTCCGTTATCGGGGAATATTGCAATGTAAAATTAACGGAGAAAAAACTGAGCATAAAGTAAGTAATTATTTAAAACACTAAAATTGTTTATTATTAATCAAATCTTTTATCTCAAGGATGTATTGTTTATTGGTTTTAAATTATTTATCGCCAAAATTTCACTAAAGGATGGGGCAAGTATTAAATTTTTAGAATGATTATTCAACATTTCTTTTACAGCTGTATATGACACCTGTATACATTTGAAAAAAAAACAAACATCTGTAAGACAAATAAAACTAATAAACATTTTTAATAGTCGGAACAAAACAAACCGCAATAGAACTTAACAAATATGGACAAAACACTGATCCATTACACAGTCTTAAAAACACTGTGTTGATAAAATGTGTAAAGTGGTTCATTAAAATTAAAACAAATATCTTTTAACTTTACAAATCAAATTTTTAATGGTTTTGGACACGAAAATGTTTCAGCGTATTATACAATTTATAAAGCATACTGTTTACATTTTTCAAAATCTTTAATAATTAGCTATAACTGTTAAAGACTGGTTTTAGAAAGCGTATACGATTATGTTACTTTTTTAAATAAAATATTAATTACCAATTATTAATACTTTCTTAATGGAAATACTTTGAAGGTACCTTTGAAATATTTGTGTTCACGTTTATTAACTATTATTAGCTTTTAATAATCCTAGATTGATGTTATGTAAACATATCTTACCATTTTCAAACTGTACTGAGTTTCTTTCTTTCTATTAGAACCTTTTCACATCTATGCCTTTTAAATTGTTTCATCGTGCCATTCTTTCAATAATGTCAACTTTAGATCTGGTAAGAATATTTACTTTGAAAATATTGGTTGTGTTTTCCTTATAACAATTCATGTGTTCCCAAATCATTGGATTGTCTAAAATTTTCTCCAGTTCTTTCTTAAAATATCCCCAGATTTTCTCGTGTGTTTCCTTCAAATATCATTAGTCTAACGAAGCGCAAGTTGATGCCTTTTTAGTTCCCATATCAGTGCATCATTTCATTAAGATGTCTCTGTGTACTTGTGTGTATGTATGTGTGTGTGTGTGTTTGTGTGTGTGTGTCTTTTACATTTTTAGCATAGCTTTAACAATTTTCA